ACAAGTGCTTACCCCTGGGCATAAATATCAAGTGCAAAGGCTAAAAAAGAAGTCTTACTCTATGTAGTTTGTATTGTTTTGATTTTTTTACAGCAAACATGTATTTGTGTATTTTCTTTGTGACTCTGTAGTTTTAAAAGTTCATTTCTACTTTATAAAAGAGTATCTAAAATTTATAGCTGATGTAACTGTGTTACTATGTTACCATGAAGCAGTTCTCCTGTCCTGACAGTGCTTTCCACCCTGCATTAAATATGGTCACAGGTAGCCTCCAAGAGTCGAGGGGAAATGGCACAAACCTGGTTTATGATCATCGTTCTCCCATCTCTCCTGTCATTGACTGGGGGAATGAGCCAGGCAGACAAAGAGGTGGATAGAGGAAGGATCTGGAGAAAAGGGGAGCTGGAAGAGGGCGTCTGTGAGTTTGGTTGGAATGAAAAGGCAGGAGGACAGGACAGAGCGCAGCTTTATGATTTAAAAAAGCAGGAATCTGATAGGAATTTAGTATATATCCTGCAAATAGCCTTCAACAAATAAGGAAAAGGACGAAGACTGGGGAAGCCAATCATTTTCCCCATGGCAGAGCCTCCTGGACCTCTCTGGGACTACCTCGGTGGAGTGCTCGTGTCCGGGGCAAGGGAGGGATAGAGAGGAAACCAAGTCCAGCACCTTCTCCACTTCTGGAAGGTGCAGTGCTCAGAACAGGCCTCTGAAGCCTTCTCTGGGTTTCAATCCGTTTTCCACTCTCAGCACCAAGGATCACTCCAAATCCCGGTGTCCAACGTCTGTCAAATCCAGATGACCGCGGATCCACCTCACAGGAAATTTAGCCACCCCCAACACAGTGACTAACACAGGGCCCCTCAGAAATGTGGTCCTCTACTGTTGAGGACACCAACAAATTACTTCACAAAATTACAAAGTAGCAACAAGAGAACGATATTAGATGATGATATGAGATGATTGGAGAAATCCTGGGGAAATGAAAAATGGAGGAGGATGACACCGTGGTCCACCACACTTCTAAGATGGTCTAAGCAGAGATCAAGAGCAGGGTCTAGAGCCCAGTCTCATGGCTGTGTTCTGCTCTGACCTCTCCTATAGAGTGATTCGCTTCTCTTCATGTTAGCCAACAATGACATTGAATAATGGCACCTATTTCTTTGAGTTGCACTGAGAATTAAAATATCCGATGTGCATCTGTTGACAGCGCCTAAGAGTCACTACCATTGGTAATAAGTGTTTGATGACTGCTCATACAGGGGCAGGAGAGAACTTCTCTCATCATTCATGTTAGCCGCTATGCAGAATCTGTGATTGACACCCTGATTTACCACTTCACCCTTAGTCAAATGTATCCATACTAAAGGGACACCCCCAGGCACCCACCCCATGTCAGCCTCCTGAAAGTGACATAAAAGGGCCAAGCTAAGTGCTGGTGCTGGTTTCCCCTTTTTGAGGCCTGGGTGTGACTGTTTACCATCTAAACTGTGACTGGCCAGAGCCAAAACAAGCACATACATGCAAATCTCCTGCCAAGGTCTTCACAGGCCATTTTTTATAAACACAATCAATGGAGGTGTAAATACTTAGAAGCAATTGACTTCTGCTTTTGTAAACTTCCCTGCATCCTCTTTCCAGCAAGCATATTGGGCACAGCAAAGTGTTGGAAATGCTCCAGGGCTGTGTCAGCCCAGCGTTGGCCTCAGAGGGCCAGGGCCTATGCAAATAGTTCTGTTTATGCCTCTGCCCCTACATTATAGAGGTATTTCCATAACAAAGAATTCCATCACTATTATTTATTTTACCCTCCTTACTAGAAATAGGATCTCAACAACAAATCATCTGGTATTACAAATGTTGTCTACCATCCTGTCCAGGAAACATCAAGAACTCCATCTCTATTTTAAAAGGAATTTAAAAAGACAAACCCAGACAGTAAAGGGTTGGCAAGCCATAAGAGAGAGCCATGGGGATGGCTGTGGTCTTGCTGCCATCAATAAGAACCTTAATCCTGCTCACTTCTCAAATGAAGGCAGGAAATTTCTGGAACTTTCTGGAACTTTCTCTCTTTAGACTTTATAGGTAGTGCCAGCAACCCCAGTTTTCCTGGGTTGTTATTCCTTATAACAGACAGGCTGTGATTCCCTCTGGGCCGTCATTCTCTGAGGGCCTATCATGAGTTCTCCACAGACTACCAGACAGTCCCATTTCCCCTCCACCAGGGCAGGATCAGTTTCCCAACTGCTCCTTTATGGGAATTTGCCTACAAGCTTGTTCATTTGCCCAGAACGTAGATTTGTTTTATCCCTCTTGGGGTATAAGATGAGTGTTGAAATCCCATTTTTCTCCTAAACAAGGGGCCCTCTGTAAAGACGCCCAGAGCTTCTAAACCTCGGGGCTCAGAGAGGCTGGGTGGAAGACTGCGGACTGGCAGTGCCTCATCCATGTGGCACAGGGAGAAGCCAGCAGCACTGGGAGGTTCCGCAGTTCCTGTGACTGCACACGGGCTGGGAGCCTGCAGAGGGTTGAGAGTGGTTTTGATTTGAAGCAGGGAGGAAACTCAAAAGCCAGACTTCGTGACAGATACGGTCTAGTTGGTTCTAAGACAGACTGGCAGTCACCCCCACCCTGTCGCCTGGATGTCTTTATTCTAGAGTGGGGCTAGCGGCCAGCAGCAGCCGGCTGATGGCAACAGCAGATGTGGCCTAGCTCTGAGGGGGGCGTAGGGCCAGAGAGGAGCTGGAGCCAGTAGCAGATGGGAGGTGGAAGGTGGGGGAGCAGGAGGAAACTGGGGGCAGGCAGAAAGCATAGGCTAATGGAAGGGGGTCTCTGGGAGGAGCCGGGACCAGCAAGCTACCGCGAGAATTTAAGCTGTGGCATTAGAAAGACCCGGGGTAGAGACCTGGATCTGTCACTTCAGAGCTGGGCCAGCAGCTTCATTCTTCTGATCCTCCTTTTCCTTTTCTGTAGAACACTAAAGACAGGCAGTAGAACTATAGGAAATGTTCACTTCAGACCTTCCCCCAAAACTACCCAGCATATAGGTTGTCAGAAAATGTAACAGAAGGAATCATTTTAGCGTCTCTGTGGTCCTAAACAGGTAACGAATCCCTGAGCTTCGGTTTCCTCATCCATTCAGGAGGAATCTCCTTATCTTCCCCAGGATTTGGAAGATTCAAGGAGAATGTGTACAATCTGGCAGGTTGTAAATGTTCCGTAAATTCAGATCCCTTGCCCTCCTCCAAGGCTCTGTCCCCAGAGGGGCACACGTCCCTGCCTTCCCTGGCCAGCAGGCAAAAGAAGTGTCCCCACCTAGGAAGGAGCCATCTGTTCTCAAGGCCAGGGGATGGTAGTTCAGAAATTTTTAAAAGGAGATGATTAAATACAGAGATACTACTAATGAAAGAGATGAGAAAAATAATGAAATCACGAAGCCAACGTCACAAAAAGATAAGAGGATACATTGCAGAACTGTCAATACCTAAGTCAGCCTCAGACACTGGACAGAACCAGGACTCGGGCAGTTTCCAGCTGGGATGTTGTCTCCATTTCCCCCCAACCTCTACCTTGCCGCCTCCCCACAAACCACGTCATCCCTCTGGATGGCAAAAGCTCCCGAACCCTTTGTGTCCAGAATGCCATGTGGGAGACTGAGTCCTGTGCAGGGTGAGGGCTGAGGGGCCATGGTTAGGGCCAGAAGCCAGGGGGTGCGAAGGCAGACCACACCTGCAAGAGGTCCGCACAGGTGCAGAACAATGTGAAGGAAAGCGCGTGTGGCAAAAAGCTGGACACAGGGAAACTTCCCTTCCTTAGTTTAGAACATGGGTAAGAGACCGTGGGTAAAACTCACTCACTGGGCATTGTGAACACAACTACATAGAAGGAAACCAGCGAGTTGCAACCTCTAGTTAGGTCCCCATCCACACTGAGTAGCCTCCTATTGATACCATTCCTGTCCTGTCCCCAAGGCATGCATCCTTCTCAAAGGCACAGGTAAGCTCTATGTGGAGAAATGTGCTCAACCTGAGAGCTTTGGGACCTCATCAGAGCACCACGGAGAACAGCAGCTCCAGCCTGGGAAATGATGTGAAAGCCTGACCCCATGCCATACAGAGAACCCCAGAGCCACTCGGGGTGGCTGCTTCATGGCCCCGCAGCCCCACACAGGCAAGCAATCTTGTATGTGTGCTGACACGGAATGTTACACAGGGACGTGAACACTGAGCCCAGCCAGAAGACACTGATTCAAGTCTTTGTGAGAACATGAGCATGTCACTCAAAACTAGTTTTTTCTCCTCTTAAAAGATGATGGCATTACCTCCCCTTTCCTCCTCACAGGGTTATCCTGAGGCCTAGACAAGGTCAGGTATGTAAATGCTACCTGAACGAACATCAGGTGTGATTATTCACCTATGAAGGTGGTGACTCAGCATGCATGGAAGGTCTTTCAGGCCCAGATGGGAGAGGAGAGGCCCTGCCGGGGTGTACATACCCTTGTAGGAACTGCTGCGCAGCCTGAGAGGAATGGCTGCAGGCTTTTATGTGAAAAGAAAGTGTATTTTGGGATACAATATACCCAGAGGCTTACCAAATTAATCATCTACACAGCAGCACTGATCTTGCAGAGAAGGATCTATACTTTCAGGGCTTTGCTAAAAGATGTGTTTAATCAGACGTTTATCTTAGGGTTTACCTAGAAGATCATGAAGGAAATGGTGTAGGAATTATGATACTCCTGAATAGAAAAGCAGCAAACTGTAACACACCACTCTCCCAGGTTGTGCCCTTAAACGTTATTTAACCTGTGCTTCTCTGAGCCTATTTTGTCACCTGCAAAATAGGGATACTAAAATGTATTTCGCTAGTTTGTTCGGAGACTTCAATGACCCCTGGAGGGTTTAATGCCTGACTCAATGTACACAATAAATAAGATGATAAGTAACATTTTTCCTGAAGGACACAGGGTCAGCATTCCGATGAAGACCAAGTCAGATATCTGCTCTTTTAAAATGAGATTTATTGTACATAAAATAAATTAATTACAGTTTAAGCCAAAGCATAAGTGGCTTTTTAAAGTGCATCTGTGTAGGGGATCTGGCAGGCAGACCCCGCATCTGGACACTCTGTAAGACAGCGTTTCTGTATGTTAGCTGCCCATTACTGTGACTCAGCCAGGCCTAGGAAACAACCCATCATTGCCATAAGCCAGTTACACAAATCACACCAAAATCCTTGACACTTTTCTGTACCTGGTCCAACAGTTAAAAGTAAAAAATAAAATAAAAATAACAAGGAACTATACAATCTTGCAGTTAGTCTGGGGTTGAAGAGTATGAGTTTCCAGCCACTCGACACATATCCAACTAAGCACCGCCGTCCCGTGTGAGGGGAGCCAGTGCCTCCTGCAGACCACGGTTCACAACGGTCAGTGTACAGGATATTTTGGCCCATAAACTTGAGCCCTTTCGTGGGAACAGAGATTTGTTTTCCTCCTTGTTCTTTAAAGAAGAAATGTGGGCATCCTTCAAGTTAGAAATGTATCCTGTAACAACAGTATTCCAGAGAGGCAAACCATGTTGACAGGAGAAAAGCAGTTCTTCCTCTTGGGAGAAACAAAAAAAGAAGTGGGAGGGGAGAAAAGGAAGCCTACAAACACTTAATCTGTTCTTTCATTCCCACCATCAACCACACCAATATATCTGCCTGAAACTACAACTGACCATCATTATAAGGCAGTTAAGAACAAAAACCAAAGCAAGTCTGTCTGCCCTCTTCCCCACTCTAAAAAATAAGAACAGACATGTTGTGTGTACAGGGAGTGGCTTGGGGGCTCACTCAGGCTCATCCATCTGTCCCCCTGTTCCAACCGCACTTCCTTTTCTGTAGCAGGTCCACAGGCCCCGGGGCCTTCACTATAGCCCATCCTGGGACCAGTGAACTACCACCAGCATCCAACCTTCCCAACCTAGAAGCACCTCCGGGCCTCTTCCTGGAAGACCAAACCCCCTTGATTAGTCAGTCACACTTCAAACGGAGGTGACAGTCCTGACTTTGGCAGAGAGCGCTTGCTTGAACCTTCTCTTCAGGTCCTGCATGTTGGGCGACTTGGGGCGGGGAATGAGAGAGGTTCTTCGCTTCTCGGGTGTGCTGCTGGGCTGCTGTTTGTGACTCACTTCTTTGCACAGGACGTGGAAAGCGTTATAGACATCGTTGTAATTTTCACTGACAGACACTTCATAGAAGGAGCAGCCCAGCATGCTGGCCAGCTGCAGTCCGAGCTGAGGGTCAACCTGCTTGATGTGCAATAGGTCAGCTTTGTTAGCCACGAGCACCACGGGCAGCCGGGAGCCCAGGTGGAGCTGCTGGACATGCTGGTGGAGTTGGCCAATGAGTTCATAGCTCTTGTGATCAGTGATGGAAAAAACGATCACCACAGCGTCTGCCCACCGGATGCACCGATTCAACTGCTCATTGCAGCTTAAGCCATTTTCTTGGGCCTGGAAGAGAGGGATGACGGTGAGGCAAATGGTGAGTGCCACAAACAGCGCCGGCTTGGTTGGATACTGAATTCAAAAGAGCCCTTCACGGTAATGCCGAGTTGCAAGTCATAAACATGTTACATCCCCACACACTTCAGCTTTCTTGACACTATGTTGATCCAGCTGCACGGAGTTGGAATAAATAACAGTGCAGCTCACCACACTCAAGTGGAAAATTGACCTGCAGGGAACTCCATGCAGAGAGACTTTGTAGTTGCACAAAATGGGAAATTAACTGGCTAGACAGTAAGTCTGGGGAAGTAAAGATAGGAGCTGGAAGCATTTAAACCTGGATAACTGCCCAGTTTGGAAGGAAAAAAAAAACCACTAACATGGCTCTTTTGTCTGTAGAGTAACTTTCCACAACATAAAAAGTGATTCAAAGTATTTGAAACTATACCTCAATATTTGATTTTTAGTGCCAAAGACATTTATGTAAAAACTGATCTTTTTAATGATAGCAAGGAGACTTTGCCAACTCCAAGTGTTTGGTTTGGTCTTTCCTGCTGTGTTGAATGCTCCTAACAGAAGGATTCTGTCCCTCAGCCAAATCTCCCAAATGGAGCCAGGCTAAAACCGAGCAGATACAACTGACGTGTCAAACAGTATATAAAAGTCTTGGCCTGACCCCCCAAACCCCATCCTTTTGCAGGAGCTACTTTGAGAACTAAACCATTCCACATCCAGCAAGGCTCCCATCTGACCAGGTTACGGTGTCTAAGCTTCTCACCTGAATACCCGGAGTGTCCTGAACTTGTATGGCCAGAGTTTCCCCTTCTATCTGGACTTGTCTGGTATACAGATTACCTATGGAGACAAAGAAAAAAAGATTACACACTTCCTTCATGTGTGACTTTAGAACATTGTGAGGGTTTTTTTTTTTTTAATGTTAGGAAAAATGTAGCCTGCAGATATACAAAAGAAGATACAGTTTATTTCTACTTAATGGGCTTTTTATAAAATGTTTTTAAGACCAATTGAAATTTTAGCCCCATGTATAAACTATGTTTAATTGGTTTATAAGTTTTTTAAAACCTTGTCTAGTTTTAAATGGGGTTTCCATTTTTGGACTGTTTCCTTGAAGCAATTTTTTTTGGACAGGGTCTCACTATGCAGTACAGGCAGGCCTCAAACTCACCGTAAATCCTCCTGCCTCAGCCTCGAGTGCTGAGATTACAGGTGCACATTGCCACCACCACCACCCCAAGACTTGAAGCAAATATTCTTTGCTTTAGCATGTATGGAATTTGTTTTATTTTAGTATGCTATGGTTCTTTGATCCTAAGTTTATGTTTTGGCCATGAGATATGCCTGGGTAGGCAAATATGGTGAGTAAAAGCACAGCTCACATTATCAGCTAAACTAAAAATATCACATGAAAATTAACATCAAAGCAAAAGGCTAAGGCGGCTTTCTTTGAGATGGCTTATGTAATGCCTTTCAGAGAAGCCCCTGTGGGCTCTTCATCCAGAATACAGAGTAAAGATCTGCTAACAGCAATCTATTAACAGTGCATAGGGAGAAAGCCCATAAGCCTGCCCACTGGCTATTCTTAACCACTGGGGAAATACTCATCCTCTCACTGATTCAGCAACTCTCCCCCTAAATTCTACCCTTTAGTTATTTTTTGTTGTTAGGAAAAAGGAACTTTAGGTTTGTAACTGTTCTCCTCTGGCCTTTGCTTTAAAAGGTCACCTCTGAAAAGCAGCCAGCAGAGAAAGGGGTGGGGGAGGAGCTAGCCAGAGTTTTTTATGACTTCTGCAGACGTGTTTTGAAGGGAGAGGCCCTGGAGTACAAAGGGTGCTTCCAACTGGGGTCCCTATAGTTAAAACATACCAAGGGAATACTTTCAGGCACTCGATAAAATGATGAATGGGCTTGGAATGGAAGGAGGCCAGATGGCAGCTGGGGGACGGGCGGAAGAAGGGGCATGCAGGGTTGGAAGTGGCAGGATCCTGATGTGCAGACTCTGGGCAGGAACCTGCCGGGAAGGCACTGGGAAATGGGCACAGCAGTTCTCCTGACAGCCCTTCCTCAGAGCGCCTCCTCACCTGCATTTCTTTCATAGTCTCCGATGAATCGCTTGGTGAGGAACCGGACCACCAGAGCTGCAGGTCAGAAAAGAGAAAGGGGAGAGAATTAACCCTGGACGTGAGATGCGTCTCCAGCACACCCGTGGAACACAACTCTAGAAAGCCACGAAGGAAATTCCTGCTCGTCAGCTCCCAGACCTGTCTTCCAGACACGGACCCATCTTCCAGACCGGGGAGGAGTGGCAGGCCTGATAAACTACCGTTCTGCCAGCCGGAGGGAATCTTTGCACACCCTGTCCTGTGTGCCCAGTTGGCCACACCTAAGCCGGCAGGCAGGGTCTCCCCAGTCTCGCAGAGCTCTGGAGGGGTTGCGATCACTCAATCTCTGAGTTCAGACATTGCCAGACACTCAAACCTCCGAAGTTCTAACCCCTGGGGCGCCGGTAACGCCCGAAAAACTTCCTGGCCATTCTGTGGCCCGGTCACCCTGGCCCGTGGACGCAGAGGGGCGCAGGCGGCTCAGGTCCCTCCCGAGGCCGCGGCTCCCCAGGAGGCGGTGGGCGCCGGCCACACCCCACCGCTCCCCTCGCCTCCTCAACTGCGAGTCACGGCGGGGAGAGGGGTCTCCCGATCGGCAGCAGCTAGGAGCGCGCGGTCGGAGCGCGGACTCACCGGTCTTGCCCACGCCGCTGGCCCCCACCACGGCGATCTTGACGAGCCGGCGGCCCGCCGGCCCCAGACAGTAATCGGCGGCGGCGGCGCTGCCCGCGGCGGGGTACTCGGCGATGGTGCACATGTTCTGGATGAGGCGCATCGCCGCTCCGGCCGGGGCTGCACCGCGTGGGACAGACGGGGGCTCGCGCTTGGGGAGCTGGCAAGAGGAACGGGACGCAGCGTCGGCGAACAGAAGAAACTGCACAAGTAAGCACGGAGCGCTCGCTGGCGGGGGCGCAGCTACCGGGGTCGGGGCTCGGGAAGGGACTGAATGGGGCAGCGCGCGCGCGCGCAGTTTTCTCCCGGGAAGGCTCCGCCCCCCGCCTCTTGTGGCCAATCGCAGGTCGTCTCGCCAAGGTCCCGCCCCCTGGCGCAGCTACCGAGCGCGGCGTCCCAGCCAGTGCTGGACCTCGTGAGGCCAGCGGGAGGAGGCGGCGGGAGGGGAGAGCAAAGTGCGGGTCCCACCGCGCGCCCAATGGCGAGCGGCGCCGGCCGGGTCTCGCTGCGCCTGCACCGGGCGGCTGCTGTGGTGGCGGAGTCGCAGGTGTCTCGGGTGCGAAGAGGCCGGCTGGGCGCTGGGTCCCTCTGCCTGCCCACGTGCGCGGTCCCAGCCTCCCACGAGCAGCCCCCGGACACCCGCGCTGTCTCAGGGCACCTTCATTTGGGGCGTGATTGCAGTGACTTATGTGTATCTGGGGTGGCATGTTGGATCACAGACCTTCAGCTAGCGTTGCAGTCACTAACAAAAACCACCATCCCCAGCCGAAGCCCCCCCTTCAAATGTGACATTTGGTTTGGGGACAAAATATCACTTGTTTCGCTCTAGACCCACGTTCTCTGGCTCTGCTAGACTTCCAAAGCTCACATGAACGCACACGCGGTCGAGCGCCTGTACTGATCCCCCCAGAGGCAAATCAGGAGAAGAGGTAATTATAGAGCAGCCTTTCTAGCCTGGCACACAGTCTCATCCCCCCTAGGAGCTGGAAATGTTAGGAAAACAGTCTTGCCAGCTGCAGCGGGCTCTTATCAGGAAGCAGAGGCCTAAAAGGTCTTATGCTTAGACCCTGGGCCTAAGGCTCTTCAAGAGTTAGTCAGAAATGACGTGGTGCCAAGGAAGATGTGGGTTCTGCACTCATAAAATCATATAGACCAACTTCCTCCTCCAACCTTCTGTAGCTGGCACCGACTGCAAACTGTGTCAGCACCACGCAGGCTGACCACCTAACTCATCCCCCTACCACATCCAAACCCGCAGGCCTCACCTCAGACGTCCAGGGGGCTTTTATCTAGACGCACACAGCAGACTGTGACTCTGTGTACCTCCTCATTAAAGGCTGAAGTGTATGCGCCAGGTGTCTAGGCTGACTCTCTTCTAACTTGAACCTAATTAAGCAGGTAGTTGACACGATTTACTAGCTAGACTCAGCTCAGACAGCAATGAACTTGTCCACAACAAGTTTAGCGGTTTGCAGGAATTCAGGTGACATAGTCTTAAGCTGCTTTGATAACAAATCTTGTAGGATTGGCAATCAGCATGATGAAAAGAGATCATTAGAATGTAAAATGGTGTGAGGTCAACCATTTGAGTCAGAAAGAAAGAGCATTTCCAACGTGCGTCATTTCTTTCTGTGTGGTTTAAATCAAACTGGAATTTTATAAAATGAAATTTAGCAAAACTATAATTACAGGTAACCATGTACTTTTTAAACCCCTCCCTTCAAAACAGCCTACAATTCTGAATTCTGTCATGTTTACATGGTAAAATGATTATGTAGTCTACAGTGTTTTTTAAAAGCTATATTTCACTGACACATGTGTGTGCAAACACACACACACAACAGAGTTATGGCAAAAGTTGTCAAGAATTTCACTTTGAATCATTTTAACTTCCGGGGCTTGGTTTTCATTTCCATGAGGCTGTACCAAACCTGTGATTTTTCTGTCTGCATCACAAAGGCTGAATTTGGTATCCTTATTTTAGGTCTAACTGATCTGGCTGTGCTTTAAAAAACACAAAACAGGAAGAAAAGAGCTGAAGATGGGGAAAAGAAAGGAGTGTTTTCAGATTTGAAACATCTGCCCTCCAGCCCACGCCACTCCACCCACCCAGGAGAGGACACAAGTCATCCCTTCTTAGAGATTCGGGTAATTAGTAGAGAAAGAAGGAGGCCGGCAGGGGAGGTAAGGCATAAGGGGACGTTTTTCGTTCCAGGCTGTAGGGAAGGTCCTGTGAGGTAGGACCATCATTTCTTCCCATTGCTGCAATCTACTGTGCCTCTGCCGACCACCACAAACCTTAGTGGCTCACAGTTCTCTGAGTGGCCCAGGCGAGGCTGGGTGCCTCTTGCACCAGTCTCTCCAGCTGTTGCAGTAAGATGATGGCTGGGGCTGTGTCATCTGAAGGCCAACTGAGCTGGACATTTAAGGTGGCTTCTAGACTGGCACAGCTACGTTTCTGCTGAAGGCCTGGGGCAACTGGGAGCTCATGATCCCTCACAGCCCAGTGGCCAACTTCTTTTGAATGAAATCAATCAGGAAGTAGAAGCAACCAATCCTTTAAGGCCTGTGCAGTGAAACTGGCCCAGTAATACATCTACTTTGTTGTTAGTTACATGGTCATGGAGTTCACCCACCCACAGGGAGAAGAAGGAACACTATTCCCATCGTCAGCTGGGAATAGTGACAAAGAATTTGTGGCCATGTTTGTTCAGCACACTTTCGTTTTAAAATGAAAAACAAATCTTTAGGTAAAAAACAAAACAAAGCCAAAAAACTTTTCTAAAGTCACATGTCATCTGATGGACAGAATAAAAAGTCTAAAAAGATTTTAATACTTAAAGTAGAATATTCATGCTGAGATGATATGGTACAATACTACACAGTAGTTTAATCTCTCTCTCTCTCTCTGTCTCTCTCTCTCTCTCTGTCTGTCTCTCTGTCTGTCTGTCTCTCTCTCTCTCTCTCCCCCCCCCCACCTCCCTCACTAAAGGGACTTGGGGAGGAAAGAAACAAATATTTTGCTTTTTTTGATTTTGCCTTGGCCTCTGGAGTTTCTATCACCTCCTTTGATCTTTAGCATTGATCTTTAATGTGAAAATTTCCAGAAATAATTCAGAGAAGCCCTTAACATACCAGAATATAAATTCAATAAATATTCATTGAACATCTGAGTGCCATGATATACCAGGCACTGTTCTGGATCTTGGGTCTGCACTGGCAAACAAGGCAGACACAGCCTGTGTCACCACTGTAGTTACATTTAGCATGGGAACCAGAGTAACAATTGGTACAGTGTGAGGAGACGCTCAGACAGGAGAAAGTCAAGAGTTATGAGAACATGTGGAGCTAAAAGCCTGGACTGTAGCAGTCAAGGAAGAATGTGTGAAGCTTAGCTTGACTGAGGAGCTCAGTCATGTATTATTGCAAGCATGCATGTGTGCACACACGTGCATGAATGTGCAAGGAGACTGCGGTGTACAGGAGGTGGGAGGATGGCTGGGTGAGCCGGGGCTGAGGAAGCAGCATTCCCCAGCAGAGGAGCTGCTCAGTAAATACATTCGTGCGCCTGTGAAATGAGGGAATAAATGCATTGACAGGCTGATAGTTCTCAGTGGGTAGACAGAAAAGCCCTGGTGAATTCTAAGTGGCACACACATTGATGAAATAAACCCAAGAAGCTGATGTGGTCCTCCCTTATTCCGTGGGAACTTACCCCGCGGGACTAAGATGTGCTGCTCCTTTGCCTGTGTCACCAAGTGTTGCTCCCAAAGTGGCCATGTGAGTACCAGGGATGTGGAAAGAACCAGAATTTTTGTGTGCAGGTTTTTGGGCTTTTTTTGAGACTTGTGTCACCTGTGCTTGTTGGATCAAGACAGGGGGCTGCTACCTCTTTCACTGCCAGCAGAAGCCCCAGGCTGCCCATTGCTGTCTCTCAAAACCCACAATGCCAGAGACTGCACGCTGGAAAATTGCTGCAGAAAAGTCCAATATCTGCACAGCAGAAAGCAAGCAAGCCCCAGAACCTGCCTTCCTTTTTGCTTCTGTCCTACAGAAGTTCTCTGAGCATAGCTGCTTAATGAAATTGACTTGAGTCCATTACCCGACCTGCAAGGGAGTCTGAAAACTTTCCTGTTTCATTTTCTAGCTTCAACAATACATGAAGACACAGTAGAAATGGGTAGAAAAGTAAACATATGGGGCTGGGGATTTAGCTCAGTGGCATAAGCGCCTGCCTTGCAAGCAGGCAGTCATGAGTTTGATCCCCGGTACCGATAAAAGGGAAAAAGAGCAAAAAAAAAGTAAACATATGATAACCTCTGTACTTCTTCCGGAGCCCAAAGAGCACAGAGAACATGCCCCAGAAAACATTTGATTTTCAATTATCAAAGAGTATAGAGAGTCTTCATACTTGCTTTTGTATAATATGTATTGATACCCATCTCTGCGACTTTGAACAGTCTCCACATATTCTGGCATAGAGAACATAGTTTGAGTTTATGTGTTCAGAATCCTTTTTTTCCTAATCCTTCCAGTAAGAACATCCCAGTTTTCCTTGGAAACGTTCCCTGTTCTACTCTCTTGTCCATTACGTGGTGCTGGGGGGAGGAGAGAGTCCCAATATCTAATTCCAAGGGTGGATGCCAATCAGCTACAGGGAGCTGTTCAGAGCAGGGTCAATGAAATCCCCTTCCTCCGAAATCTGCAGCTCCAGGTAGTCAGCTTGGTACCTCATGGGAGAGCTGGCCTGGGAACAAAGCCAGCCATAGAAGGCAGAGTGAAGAGGCAGAGAAAACCAGGACACTAGTGGCATATTTTCCCATCCTACATTCTGCTCTGCCAGAAAATCCAGACTTATCCAAATCTGCAGGCGCCAGCACAGTTCCGCTCACAGGGTCAGCTGGTTTGTGTGGGATCTTCGTCATTTGTACTGAACAAGCCTTCGCACATCCTGTCCTCATGGGGTCACGGTCCCCACATATGACATACAGCAACTGCTCTCCAGTGTCAGACATGCCCCCATTCACAGCGCTGCATCCCACCATTCCGACTTCACTGGGCCTCACAAATACCAGACTGTCACATCTTTTTATTTCCCCTTTCAGACACTCTACCAGTGCCTTTCTGAAATATATTAAAGCCAACATATAATTGAGAAGGATATTAGTACATTCAGAAAAGGAATTTTATTCAGCATGAAAAAGTGATTTAGCAAGCCATGTAAAAACACAGAAGAACCTCAGGTGTAATTACTAAGTAAAAGAAAGAGGTCACATACTGTGATTCCACTATATGACATTTCTGGGGACGCATAACTATGAGAATGGCAAAGATCATCAGTGGTTGTTAGAGGTTAAACAGATGGTATGCAGAGGATTTTTAAGGGCAGTGAAGTTACTCTCTATGATACTGTAATGGCGAATGCATGTCATACATTTGTCTAAACCTATAAAATACCACGAGTGAACCATAACACAACCAATGATTTCTGAGTGAGTGATAATACTATGCCAGTACAGTTCATTAACTGGAAAAATACAACCCTATGTGTAGGATATTGATATTGAGGAGGCTATGTATATGTAGGCTAGCAGTTATATGGGAAATCTCTGTACCTTTCTCTTGTCTTTGCCATAAACATTTAGCATCTCTAAATATATAATGTCTAGTTCTTTTTTTGGAAAAAAAAAGGATATCATGGTGCATTTGGTCTCAATTCTTTCTCTGAGGTTTTAAGTGTTTCTTACAATATTCCTGCTAAAATACTACTGGCCCAATTCAGCATACTTCCAGTGATAGGAAGCCTTACCATCCACAGCAATGGGTATATACTGAGTTGGTATCTTCTCTTTTTTCTGGGGCTACTGTTCATGGCTTGTATCTAAATGTCCCCCAAAGTCTCATGCTGTCATAAGTAGGGCTTTTTGGAGGTGGCTGGAGCTAGGCTATGAGATGCTGGGATCAAGGATGTGATGCAGAGATTAATTCACAGTGTGATTCTAGAATTAAATATAAGACAGGAAAAGGGCTCATCATTTGTCTCTTGCTGCTTGCTGCCTCTCCCTGCTTGCTCTGCGATGCCCCTCACCGTGCCACCCTGCCTCGGAGCCAGCCAGCTACGAACTGAAACCTCACAAACCATGAGCAACAATAAACTTTTCCTCCTTTAACTCTGGATGCCAGCATATATTTAAGTATCACATGGTTTCTCTGGTACATAAAGACTAAAATGTATAATAGATCTTGTAAAACAGGAAGAAAAATATCCAAATAGGAAGGGGAACAAGGGAGGGCGGAGGAAGAAAGGAAAGAAGGGACAAGAAAAAAGGAGAATAAAAACCAAAAATAGAAACAAAGCTTTTGTAAATGGGGGAAAGAGGAGTTGAAGGGAAGATAGGCAAATGGGAAAAAAGAAGAAGCGAGATACATCATGTACAGGCACAAGTTCCCTATGATGGATGTGATCATTACGTATATACAGAATATACCAATAAAATTATTAAATAAATAGAAAAAATTTCAAATGTCAGGTATTGTCTCTCAGCAATGAGAAAAGTAACTAAGACAGCTGCCTTCCAAGAGGATGGCTTTGGCACGCTCTCTAGCTTTCCCAACACCTGGCCCACCTTTGATTTACCTCCCACGGCTTTTGGAAAGTACTGGTAAGGAACACAGGGACAGTGGCCGCTGCGCCAGCGGCCTGTGAAGGAACGGGAGGCACAGGGCCTGTCCCTAAAGGACAACTTGTAATAAGAGTTTTTAATAGTCAAATTTTTAAAGAGAACCGTCGTTTGGGAACCAGTCTCTGGATTAAGGAAAGGAGGAAATTTCTTTTGAGAGATCTTATCTTTTAAGAGATCACTGAGTATGCAAATAGAGACTAGACGATAGATTGAAGCATGGCGGGAGACTTTCATGCGGTGACTCTGTGTTAGATATGGCACAGGCCGGTGCGCTGCATCCCAGGAGCTGCTGGCACGCAGTGGGGGCTCAGTGGTGTTTTTCTTTACATTGTCAATCGGTTCTGGACTAAAAGACAACCCAAATCCCTTGTGTCAAAACCAAAGTAGGAGTGAAGGAACTCAATTAATTAAAAGAGGATGCAAACACACACGCACACATATATGTACACGCACACACGCACACAC